CTATATTTCTATGACGAATACTAATATACCGACATGCATTATAATTCACGAATATCAATTGATTCACACAAGGCATAGAGGTATATTTCTATCCTCTATCGGACCTTATGACGATTTATACTATGTCGAACCTATTTTCCTTCTTTCGAATGCATAAAACAGGTCACCACATTCATATAATCACGTGCACAATAATTATATGAAAATAAAAACGAAATAAATCAATCAATTCTGGAATTGGTGTTTACATACGTCAAAAATCCAAAACAATAATTAAACGTGGTATTACAAAGTTCATCGATCTCCTAGTAGTAATAAATTTAACCTAACATGTTAAAAAGAACGAAACTTAAAAGTATTTGAAGAAACGACATTATCCGAATCAATATTCACTCCGATCTTCAATTAGCGCGGTGTTTATCTCTTGTTTTCTCCCTTCTTTCTTCTTTAAAATCTCCCAAAAAATGTAAAAACGGTGTCCCCTTCATTCTGATCGAGTTTTTGTACTTATAGGACCCTAACATTTTGTTTCCATAAGAGTTTCGGAAGAAAAAGGAAACCAAAATTTTCTTCAACTTTTTGTTCTATGCGAACGCATAGAGTAATTCTATGCGGTCGCATAGAAGGAATTTTTCACCCCCTTTTTTCTTTCGGTATGGTACTATGCGACCGCATAGAAGATAATACTATGCGGTCGCATAGTACTATCTACTATGGAGAAATTGCATTTTGGTCCTCCAATTTGCATCCTTCACTTCTTAGCATCTTCTCTTCATTCTTTTCATTTCATCACCCCATGGAATCCTCAATTTGGCAATCGGCCTAATTGATTTCTCAATTTGTTCATCGGATCAACTTCTGGATATTTGCACTTTTGGTCCCTGAACTTTCACTTTGCATCACTTTAGTCCTTTTTAGCGTCTTTTCTCCTGAATTTCACCCTGTTCATCGTTATTTCCTACAATTCACAATTGTACAAGATTAAGTCACAATTCAATTATTTTGCTCGTATTTAAATCATGTTTGTGACCTAAATAAGTGTGTAAAAATACATTTATCAGCGTATCCTGTAATGGATATGAAAGTAGATTGTTACAATTATTCGAGGAACTCGAGGCTAATAGGGGACAAAGGATCAGTACACATGGAGGTAAATTAAGAAAAAATGGGTGATCACGAACTTAAGAGACTCGAATGGTTAGTAAATTATGCTGGTAAGGGTGGCGAGTCTAAGAAAGAAATAATGGGGAGAGGTGACAGAGTGTTAAAATGATGCCAAAACTCATTAGCTGGAATGTACGGGGGCTCAATGAGGTTGGAAAAAGGCTTGGTGTTCGACATTTGCTAAGGAAATGGGGGCAAATATTGTATGCTTACAAGAAACTAAGATAGAGTTTATCTCGAGGGTGGTGATTAGTAGCTTATGGGGGGGAGAAACATGTAGGGTATCAGTTTTTGGGGTCATCAGGGGTATCAGGAGGCGTGTTGGTGATGTGGGACACTAGAATGCTTGAGATGGAGGAGGTGAGTATTGGAGTGTTCTCTATATCGATTTCTTTTAAAAATTGTGAGGATGGATTTCGATGGATGTTCATAGGAGTTTATGGGCCTAATTCTGATGACAGTAGAGTGGGCTTGTGGGATGAACTGACTAGAATAATGGTTTGGTGGAATCTCCCAACATGTATTAGGGATGATTTCAATGTGATTCGATTTCCTTCTGAGAGGTCGAGTGGTGGGAGACTAACTAGGGCAATGGAGGAGTTCTCAGATTTTATTAGGGAGAATTTGTTGGTGGATTTACCTATGATTGGGGAAGATTTTACCTGGTCATCTAATCGAGACCGACCCCTCTTGTCTCGTATAGATAGGTTTTTGATTTGTGGAGAGTGTGAGTCCAAATACTCAGATGTCACTCAGAGAAGATTGGGGAGGGTATACTCAGATCATTTCCCTATTATATTATCTGGGAATAAGAGGGGTGGTGGAAGAAGGCCTTTTAGGTTTGAGAAAATGTGGTTGAAAGTATAAGGTTTTAGGGAGCGTATACAGACTTGGTGGGATTCCTATAAAGTCACAAGGTCTCCCAGTTTTGTATTGGACCAGAAGCTTAAGGCTTTGAAAGGGGGCTTAAAGAAATGGAACGAGGAAGTTGTGGGCAATGTTAATTGTAGTAAAAATCAGCGTCTGTCAGAGATAGAGGAATTGGATAGGCGGGAGGAGAGTCAAGGGTTGGCTAGAGAGGAGAAAGAGAGGCATAGAGTATTAAAGGAAAAGATAGAGAGGTTGGTAGAGATGGGGGAAATTGCTTGGCGACAGAAATCTAGGGTTACTTGGTTGAAAGAGGGGGATAAATGCACTAAGTTTTTTCACAGGGTCGCCAATTCTAATAGGCGGAACAATTCCATCACAGTTTTGGAGGTGGACAGGGTTACTTATGAGGAGCCACAATAAATTGGAAGCCAACTGGTGAATTTCTATCAGAACCTCTATCGAGAGCAATTTGAATGGAGACCAGAATTGGAGGGATTGCACTTTTCTACTATCACGGAGGATGATGCTAGTTGGATGGAGAGACCATTTGGGGAGGATGAAATTAAGGAGGTGGTGTTCAGCATGAACGATGATAAGGCTCTGGGACCGGATGGTTTCTCGTTCTCATTTTATAAGGCGTGTTGGGATGTTGTACGACTAGATATTGTGAATACTCTATCTTAATTTTTTGAACGTGGCAAGTTCCATAGAAGTTCTAACGCTACATTTGTTGTGCTCATCCCTAAGAAATTGGGAGTAACTGATATTAAGGACTTTCGCCCTATAAGCTTTGTCGGTGGGGTGTATAAGATTATAGCGAAAGTCTTGGCAAAGAGATTTGAGGTGCTGGGGAAAGTAGTGTCCAAGTTTCAGAATGCATTTGTAAGAGGGCGTCAGATTTTGGACTTTATGCTTATAGCGAATGAATGCATAGATTCAAGAATGTGTCTAAGGATCCCAAGGATGTTATGTAAGCTAGATATTCAGAAGGCTTATGATCATGTAAATTGGGGATTCCTGTTGTATATGCTTAGGCGTTGTGGCTTTGGAGATAAGTGGTGTAAATGGATTCAATTCTATATTTCTATTGTTTCATTCTCAGTTTTGGTTAACGGAACACCTAAGTGTTATTTCTAGAGTAGTAGAGGCTTGAGACAAGGGGATCCATTGTCTCCATTGTTATTTGTCATTGTGATGGAAGCTTTCAGTAGAATGATTGAAAGAGCTGTGGAAGCGGGTTTGAAAAGGGGTTTTATGGTTGATCAATTGCATGTGTCCCATTTGTTATTTGCAGATAACACGCTGATCTTATGCGATGCAAATGTTGAACAATCAAGAATTTGCACCGTCTGCTCCTATTCTTTGAAGCGGTGTCTGGTTTGAAGATCAATTTGGGGAAGTCTGAGGCTATTCCAGTAGGGGAGGTCGATAACGTGGAAGAGCTAGCTGATATGTTAGGTTGTAAAGTTGTGCAGCTACCGATGTCATATCTAGGGCTCCCGTTAGGAGCACGATTTAAAAGTACTCATATCTAGAATGGTATTGTGGAAAGGATGGAGAGGAGGTTAGCAGGGTAGAAGGAGGCAAGCTTACTCTCATTAAATCCACTCTCTCCAATCTCCCTACTTACTTTTTGTCATTGTTCCCCATTCTGGTTGCAGTGGCAAAGAGATTAGAGAGACTTCAAAGAGAATTTCTGTGGGTAGGGTTGGGGAAGGTTAGGAGACTCCATTTGGTCAATTGGGGTATTGTCTGTTTGTCAGTAAGGATGGGGGCTTTGGAGTGACGAGCCTCATGTTGTTCAATAGGGCTTTATTAGGCAAGTGGCTGAGGCGATTTGGAGTGGAGAGGGAGAACTTCTGGAGAGAAATCATTAGGGCGAAGTATGGTGTGATGGAGGGGGGATGGTGTACGGTTGAGGATCGTGGTTCTTATGGGGTGAGTATGTGGAGGTATATCCGACAGGGATGGAGTGATTTTCTGGACAAACTGAAGTCTCTGGTCGAAAATGGTAATGAGATTAGATTTTGGGATAATTGTTGGTGTGGAAATCAATTGCTGAAGGAGGGATTTCCTTCCTTGCAACACATTGCTTTAGTGCTCTCTGCTATGGTGAGTGATCTTTGAGTCATTCATAATGGAAGCTATAGCTGGAATATTACTTTTGGGAGGGGTCTACAGGATTGGGAATTTGATGATTATTCGTTGTTTATGACCTTTCTACATGAGGCACAAATTCGGGTAGAAGAGGGTGATTGTATCAGGTGGAAGTAGCACGAGATGGCATTTTCTCAGTTCACTCTTTCTTTAGTTCCCTCCTAAGATGCATGGATAGTTTATTCCCCTGGAAGTTGGTATGGCAATGTAAATTGCCTCCTCGGGTGACATTCTTATTGTGAACAGTTATGAGGGGACAGGTCTCAACGGTGGATAATCTTCGACATATTTTATGTAATCGAGTGGTATTATATGTGCAAGAAGGATGGGGAGACGATCGATCATTTGTTCATTCATTGTGATGGTGTTAGTTGGATTTGGAACAGTATTATTGGTTCTCAATCTATGAATTGGGTGATACCTTGTCGTATAGAGAATGTGCTACGGGCATGAAGGGGAAAATTTCATGATAAGAATAGCAAACTAGCATGACACCTTATCCCAAGTTGCACTGTATGGTGCGTGTGAAGAGAAAGGAACAACCGCTGCTTCGAAAACCAAACAAAAACAAGAGAAACATTTTACTTTACTTTGTATTGTTGATTTAATGTTGTGGCTGAAGATCCTATAGATGGGTTGCCTAATTTCATGTTGTTCCTTAGTTGTTTAAAGTGATTGTACACCCCCTATGTATTCTCTTTTAAATAATAAAATTATCTGATTACTTATAAAAAAAAAACTCCGCTGACCTTAAAGAGCCAAATACATTATAATTGCTTTCAATGTATTTGTCCGACTAATGCAAACAATGCCAAATCAGAAATATAAATTGGAAGTGAAAATACAAAAAGAGTTTTATGATAATAATTCTGATAATATTTATTCAAAAATATCAGGAAAACTGTAAAATAGATTGATATTACGTTACATTCCAGTATATAAATCCGAAGACGTGTCGCATTTTAGGATCCCAATTCCCCGTACAAGATACCCTCTCCAAACTTGGATTAGAACCAGAATTGCAAGAATCGACAATGACCATCTTCAACAGATAACATCATAGCGCATATTCCATTAGAAATTCTGGTGGGATATCAATATTTTCTGAAAGTAAGGTTGAGACGGCCCGGCTGAAGTTTTGTACGTTCCAATAAGGCCAGTGGAGCTGTATTTGGGACAATGGACATCACTCCATGAAAAATATGTCTAGATTCACCACCAAATATCAGCACATCACCTGATTCTAGTAAAACTTTCTCAGCCTTGTTAACATCTCTCTGATCGCCAAATAAGAACTCAGCTGAGTCGCCCACTGATAAGGAGATGACAGGCAATCCACTGAGTAGACTCGTCCTGCTTTCATCACGATCCTGTATTTACAGAAGATGCGACAATTTTTAGAGAGATTGAAATTTGAATTGATGAGAGAAAAATCAAGCTACATATATATATTTAACACACGCACACGGTTACCTAAAGATAAGCTAATAAAAGAAATTTTGTGCCAAGGATGAAAAGTTATTTTTTCTTCTTACTTTAAACATATGCAATAGGTTTCACCAAATATCATGTCTAGTTCTGTATCAAGTTGGCTTCCCCACATTCATATCTTAGAGAGATTCGGGTGGAAGAAAACTAGATGAATCTGTCTCGTTTGTATGATACATGCATCCAAATTCCAGTGCAAGATGAAAATACTCTTCTTTTTGTTGATGAAAAGAACGTTTGCTTCGTCAATTCATGGAGGAGAAAATGTATATGAAATTATTAACTAAAAGATCTAGGTATTACCAATATCTATTAAGGAAAAGTATAGATCCTGAAGTTAACGAAAATCAAAAAAGAATTTAATACCAACCTGATGGAGGCCAAGTCGCCCACTACTGGTATAAAAGTTAACTATGCACACATCTGGAGACATTCGAGGGAGTATGTCCTCGACATTCTTTGTTGTTGAGTGTCTTTCAATCAGAGTATGGGAATCATCAATTGCTCTTCGTACTAATGAAGTGAATTCACTAGGAATTCTAGGGGGCTCAGCACCATCATGCTGTCGCCTTTCTTGATACACTTTTGTTTGAGGATTCCAGTCGAGACCAAGACACATCATGTAAAGACGCAATTTTGCTCCATCTTTGTAACCAGGTCTGTAAAACCCTCCGGGGCCAAGACCTAAATTTCGACATCTCTCTACAATATCCACCTGCAAGTAAGCATAAAGGGCTAGATATTAGGAAGCTGAAAGAAAAAATTACTGGTCTTAAAGCAACTGCATACTCCTAAAAAGATATGGCAGAACAAAGTGGTACCAAAAGGTCCTACAACATTTGCAAAATAGATGGATCTTTTCTTCTTTAAAGGACAGGGCCAAACATCATCAAAGTTCAATAACATGAATGACATTATAGTTTTCCCTGGTCATCAAATAATATAGCATTTGGCTAGATCTGAACTTCAAATCTTCTTATTTGTGAGGAAAGAGAACAATTTGAGCAACTATTTCAAATGGACGAGAGAGTAGATGACCATTACCTGCACATCAAGGGATATGTAGTTTTTCAGTAAAACCATTCCAGGTCTCAACAGTTGACCATTCTCTTCAAGCAAGCATTCAGCTTCAATCTGTTTTTCCCGATTCCTTTCATACATAGAAGGCTCAAGAAAATCTTGTTCCAAGGGCTCAGAGAGGCATATATCAAATGGTTCGTCTATGTTCACACCCTTGGTGGAACTTGAACTTTTCTTACCATTTCCATACTTGGGGTTAGCCTGGTGAAATTTTGAACTTCTAGAAGTAGAAGGTCCACGTTTCTTCCCAAAACAAGTAGGCAAATACGAGATGTTCTCATTGTCACCTGAATGTAAACTGGCCAGTACTTCAGATTGGAAAGAACCAACCTCATCTGATCTTGGCTCGTGCTCAGTAGACAAATCTATTTTAGTTCTTCTCTTACTTTTATAAATGGAATTAATGCTAACCGAAGGTGAAGGAACCTCCTTCCCATGGAGATCAACTGATGAATCACATGACTCCGATTGATTTCTTGTATTGTCCATTCTTAACTGCAGCAAAATCAATCATTATGAAACAAAGCATGTTAACGCCGTTCTGTATCAGTAATTTCCATACCTTAAAACTAGGAACCGGAGATCATGGTGAAACCAAACTCAGAATATGTCAATCCTCCAGTTTCAAAATAATCAAAATAAAGAAATAACTCATTCATAAAAGGCAGAATATATGCGACGAGAACCGCAATAACAGCCCAGAACTACAAAATACTCATTTCAGCAAGAATTGCCCAGTAAGTTAGAAAAATTCACCCTTACCTTTTCAATCTATTGACGATTATGGACAGACATTCAATTCGAGGAGAAAGGTGGAGACAAAATCGGGAATATTTTAACAGTAATTCTTAATACGATACCATATTAAAACCATACCCAGAATTTGTTTAAACCCTCTGTAAAACATAGTATGTACTCAGATCCGGTTCGACGATGTGTAATAAATTTAACTAAATTTTAAAAGAGTATCACAAATAACTGCTCATTCCTGAACATACCAATCTCCAAACTTTTAATTCGTCTTATATATTTATTCAATTGTATTTTTCGCATATGATTACCCGTGAAAACTGGCATTAAGAGTAAATAAAAATTAAAAATTAAAAAGAAAAGCTCACTTTCTCTGGGGAAATTGTACAATTGGCATCAGGGCTTGATCCCATAGTTCTGGCTCTCTTTACTGTCCTTCCAAGGAAGAAAATATTGCTGGAGACTTTGTTGATTGTTGACGTAAATCTTGACGGAGTGAGGGCTGTAAGGAAAATTTTGAGTATCATGAATTTGAATAGTTGCTCGAACACGAACACAAGATAGGAGAGACTCTAGAGAGTGTTTTGCATCAGGCGAGAGGAAAGATAAAGACGGCTTTATTCTCAGTTCACTCTCTTTCTTTCCTATCTATCAATTAATAAAAAGATTTAATTAAACCAATATTTTAGTCTAAAAATTAAATCGATTAAACACATTTGATCAATAATTTTTATGCAAATAAATTTTAGTCAATTGAATTGTCTAGAACTTAAGGTGTATTTAATTGCAAACATGAAATTTACGTAGAATGAAAATAAGTTTGCCTACAACTTGTCTGTACTTAAATTATAAATTATGTGTTTGATTGATTTAATTTTTGACCTAGAAAATATTATACATTTTTATTTTTATTTGGTAGGTATATGATATAGTGGATATATGAGAGAAAGAAAGAGAGAAAATTATCTGAAAAATAAAAATCACCACTTCTCAAAGAAAATATTTTCCTTATCTTTTAGAAAAATATGGTTACATAACCAAAAGTCAAAAATATTTTTTATAAAAAGTTGTCAATCAAACACTCTAAAAGTGTCGATTTAGGTAAAAATGACATTTTTCCATGCAAATTTTATACTCATAGTCAAATCACCTTGAAGGTGAGTTTGATTGGGAGAATAAAATTTACATGAAAATAGAATAAATTTTATGCAATTCAATTGCTTAGAGTTTATTTGCATAAAAATTATTAATTAATTGTATCTTGTTATTTTTATCTTCAACCTAAAAAATATTATAATTGTCTATTTTCTAGTAATGGGTAGATGAAAGAAAAGAGATACATAAGAGAGAGAGAGAGAGAGTGAATTACTTGGAAAATAAAAATCACCCCTCCCTAAAAGAAAATATTTTCTTTTTTTTGAGGAAAATATAAATCAAAAGTTGAAGAATATTTTTTATGGAAAAAAATGATCAATTAAACATTGTAAAAGTAAGAATTTAGGTGAAAATGACATTTAAATAAAAATAAAATCGATCAAATGCATTGTAAGAATGTATTTGATTGTGAGCATGGAATTTTCATAAAAATAAAATAAATTCTATGCAACTCAATTGCCTAAAACTTATTTGTATGAAAATTATTAATTAAATGTATTTGATTGATTTAGTTATCATCCTAGAAAATATTATATTTATCTTTTTTTATTGATATGTTGATGAGAAAAAAGGGATAGATAAGAGAGAGAAAGGGACACTGGATTTTCTGGAAAATAAAATCATAATCTCTAAAGAAAATATTTTTCTTGATTTTGAGGAAAATATAGTCACATAACCAAAAGTAGAAAAATATTTTCCATGGGTAAAAATGTCAATCAAAAGTATAAAAGTAAGAATTTGAATGAAAAATATTGACAATCAAATGCACCCTAATTGAAATAGGAGTTGAAAAAAAGCTGCTTTCATAGTTAGGAGGAAAACCCCGTTTGCCTCTCTTTAAAACAAAAATATTTTAATTCTCATACTTATTTTTGACAACACATTTTCAAAATAAAATATTTTATACTTAATTAAATTTTTTTACTATTTTTTAATCACACATTCACACAAAAATTACTATTCAATTTATTATTATTATTATATTTTTTTCTTGAAAATAATGACTATCAAACAGAGGTAAATAGGATAGTGGAAATTACATAATAGCAGGGATTTAAAAATCACAGTTCAAAAACCAGGGACTAAGTTTCATTATGCAAAAATCAGGTACTGATATAATAATTAAATATCCAAATTTAACACTCAAACCCTAATCAATTTCATCATCTTCTTTCTCTCACTTTTCTCGCCTCTCTCTAACTTCGCCTACTTCCCTCTTTGGTAACAATTCCTTGTCTCTCCAGAGGCGTTGCCACAGCAGTGAGTGTGGCAACATCGGGGTGTGGTGGTGGTGTAGTGGATTGAAGCTGCTGTGGTATTCAATGGTGGTAGCGTCAGGATAGGTGGTAGTAGTGGTGGTTTGGGGCTATAGTGGTTTTCAGCAGCGACGACGTGATGGTGTGGTGGAGGTTGGTTGCCGCAAATGTGAGCGTCGTGGTGTCAAAACCTTGGTCGCTGCTTTCTCTGGTGTGATTTTCTATAGTGGTGGCATCGGGGCGTGGTGGTGGCTGTTGCTTGTGGTGATTTTCAGTGATGGTTTGGGGCTGATGTGGCTTTCGACAGTGGTGATGTCAAGATGTGATTGTAGTGGTGGTGGTTTTAATGGTGGTGGTGGTGATCGATGATGGTGATGCAGTCAATCTAGGTAGGTTACAGGCGGTAGTGTTGGGTTTAACAGGTTGGTGTGATTTGTTCGTGGTGTGTGTGTGTGGTAGTGTTGCTGTTGCTATGTGGTGACGGTGGTGTTGCAAAAATGTTGGTTTGGGTAGCGGTGGCGGTTTTCAACAGTAACTATGATTTTGTTATGTATTTGTGGAGTAGTTTTGGGTAGTTGTAGTGGTGCTGGCTTAGGCAATAAGGTTGCGATGGTGAATGTGGTGCCAATTTCGGGCTGCAGCGATGGTGGTGAGGTTGCGGTATTGTGGTGCAAGCGACTGTTGTGTGGTGGTGTTTGCAACCAAGATTAGTGCTGGATCAGGATCGGTCGTGGAGGTGTTTGGTGCTTGCGACCAACTACTTGGACTAATTTTTAATCTGTGACTGTGACCTTAAAATTCAATAATTTGTGACTAAAAATATAATCCGTGACTAATAAATTTAAAAATATGTGACCTATATATAAATTGTGACTTGTACTTTGAATGATCTGTGACCTCGAAATTTTTTGATTTGTGACTCGAAATAATCTGTAACCACTTAATTCGATGATCTGTGACCAATAATTATGAATTTGTGACCATCGATCGTGCAACTGTGACTTTACTATATTTAATTAATAAATATTTTCAATTAATTATATAAAACCCTGAATTTTGAATTTTTAAACTTTGTACCTCATTTGTGAATTGATGTAAACAATATATCTCACATATGAATTTTTCCCAATAGGATATGCCCAAGTAAAAATAGATCCTAAAATTCTTAGGACGGCCCAAATCCAATCCAAACTTTTGGCGAGCTAATCTACTTGGCTAAAATACCAATTGTCATTTGGGAATTGTAAAATAGAATAATTTGTTTTATATAATATAAAAATTAGGGAAAATTCATATGTCATGTGTATTGTTTACATCAATTCATAAAACATGTACAAAGTTTAAAAATCCAAAATTCAAGTTTCTGTATAATTAATTGAAAATATTTATTAATTAAATATAATAAAGTCACAGTTACACGATTAATAATCACATATTCATAATTATTGGTCATAGATTTACTTATTTGTCACCTATCATCGAACTAATTGATTACGAATTATTTCGAGTTCACAAATAAAAAATTTTGCAGGTCACAAATTATTTCGAGATTACAGATAAAAAATTTACATGTTACAAATTATTTAATTGGTCACAGATCAAAAAATTTGTGGGTAAGGGTTAAATCATCAGTCACAAATTCAAAAACTATAGGTTATAGGTCACACATTTTTAAATTTGATATTCACGGATTACTTTTTAATAACAAATGACCATATTTTAATGACACAGTTTACGATCGTAGTCACAGACGGGACCAAATAATTGGTCACAGACATCCAACATTTGATCCCGACACGACCACCACATCCACCACCACCAACAATTGGTCACAGGTCAAATAATCGTCACATATCACCAACTCCACTGCCACCACGGCCACTTGCAACAACCATCACCCGTCACCACCACCACAACCACAACATCACCACCACCACTTCATCACCAACAAAATCATCGCCACTAGAAACCACCATGACCGTCATCACCAAACAGACACACAATACCCAATTTAATGGTCACAGTCAACTGAATAATTTGTAACCACCATCAAAGCTTATGACCACCACTCACAAGCTCCCAACAACATCACCGTCACCGTTACTGCCAAAACCACCATCACCTACAACAAATCTAACACATTACGAAAAAAACCACCAAATTGTCACACCAGATCCACTATCACAACCACCAACAAACTACGATTTTCAACTACAAAACAACCACCTATCAACACATCCATGTCAAATTCACCACCACCACCTCCACCAACAAAAGCCACCCCATCACTAGATCCACCACCTATCTAACACTATCGTACCCAAATAATTGGTCACAACCATATTCAATCTCCACCACCAACCAAATGGTCACAAACCCCACCACCCACAAACACTATTCGTCCCACTCAACCGTCATCACCACCACTCACCAACGCCACCAACACTGCAACTATTTGCAATTGTCACCACCAATAGCACTAAATCCACCACCACACCACATCTCCATGGTCAAAATTCACTACCAATGTGGCCAGATCCATCATGCCAACGCCAATAAAAAAAAACCCCCAAACCCAACAAAATTCGACTGACTAAAACCAACAAACTAGTCCCCACAACCATAAACATCCCTTTTCTTCTCCAACTTTGGTCCGTAACAACCACAACTATACATTCTCTTCTTAAATGGATCGCCACAACAATCTCAAATCACAACCACCCCTTCTCTTTTGTGACTTTGATCTGCAATGGCCCCTGATCTATAACGACAAGCGGTGATTCACAATCGAGCGCAACAATCACAGCAAAGAGTAAGACAAGAGATCAATGGTGGCTTCTAGTGTGATGGAGAGAGAGATTGAAGTGCAAACCATCCAATCTTCATAGCAAACTTGATGCTCTATAGCAAAGCCTGTCTATTAGAGCATCTGCAAAGAGAATAGAAGAAGCGGCTACATGGTGTGCTTCTTTGCATTTGTGAACGATGGCGGCACCGGTATAGTAGAGAGGATGATGGTAGCGCCGACTTAGGGGTCGGTGGTGTAGAGAGATTAGGTTTTGTAGTGGGTGGGTGGGTAAATTGAATTGATACTTGATTTTTGCTTAAATAAACTTCCCATTTGAATTTTGAATTAGAAATTTTAAATACCTGCTTTTATATAATATCCTCTAAAAATTATACTCCTGGAATCGATAATTGGATCATACTTCTCGATTTTTTTAA